ACCTCCTGACTGTAAGCAGACTCGTCACCGTCCTGAATGAGGCCGATGAGTGTGGTGTCGTCTGCAAACTTCAGGAAAAAAGAAGAAAAAAGAGTTTTTGTCTCAAAGACAAAAACAATACAGAATCTAATCTGAGACATAAACTAGAAAAAAAACTCTCTCTCTCTCTCTTATGCCAACCATCAACCAACAATGCCAAAAATAAACTGAGAAATAAAAAATATTTATTCTCTCTCTCTCTCCTCTCTCTCTCTTATGCCAACCATCAACCAACAATGCCAAAAATAAACTGAGAAATAAAAATTCTCTCTCCAGCTCTTTAACCTCCTGACTGTAAGCAGACTCGTCACCGTCCTGAATGAGGCCGATGAGTGTGGTGTCGTCTGCAAACTTCAGGAAAAAAGAAGAAAAAAGAGTTTTTGTCTCAAAGACAAAAACAATACAGAATCTAATCTGAGACATAAACTAGAAAAAAAACTCTCTCTCTCTCTCTTATGCCAACCATCAACCAACAATGCCAAAAATAAACTGAGAAATAAAAAATATTTATTCTCTCTCTCTCTCTCTCTCTCTCTCTCTCTCTCTCTTCATCAACCATCAACCACCCCCCACCCCTGCCTGAGTCCCTTCTTAACCCTTGTGCAGGTTGTCCGGCGTCTTAAGAGACGTAATCGTGGAATTTTTCTAAACACATGTAATATCACTGTATTCATGTTTTAGTAATGTTTTGGGGGTCCTATTTAATTTTTAAAATATATTTGCCTATATTTTTTAATGATTTTGACATGTAGGTTTACTTGAAATATTTTAAAAATAGTAACTACAATTGGTTTACTTAAAACATGTTTGTACAATTCACTATAAAGAAGATTTTCAGTCGTGGTGATAACATGAAAAATGTGCCACAGTTTAGTGGAAGACCGCTGCCATCTAAAAGATAAAATCTCAAAATTAAAATAACATGAAATTTCCACTAGATGGCTGCAAAGGACCACTTTTATTGGACCACTCATTGTATAAGT